TGGCTCTGAAGGAGAGAGATGGGGCTTTCTACTCCATAGAGAGTTACAGTCTTAGAAATCCACAGGGCAGTGCTACTGTCCTATAGGGTCGCTGAGAGTTGGCATCTACTCTGGGCTTGGTTTGTTTCTAAGAACATAGCATTTTGTTTGGAAAGGTGAAGAAAAAAACCCCACCACATTACACTATCAAAACCTTTTGCTTTTGGTTAGGGAGAGAAGGCTCAAAACTGAAGCATTTTGATAGCAATTACTAAACTCCCAAGATTTCTGGCTTGACTAACAGAGAACCAGGATAAAGTAGCTAATTATATCAGGATGCCTTCTGTACAGAATCCCTGGAAATTATTAACTCACTGGGCTGCTACCCAAGAGGTTGGAAGCTTAAGTCTACCCAGAAGCACCTGTCTACTTCCCAAAAAATCAGTCACTGAAAACACTACAGTGCACTTCTATGCAGACACACATGGGCTAGCATGGAGTCCTCGTGGTAGAAACTGGTTTCTTGCTCTGTAAACCCCAAAGTGCACGGAAGAGGAGGGGGTTGAGAAAGCCAGGTTTCTTTGTCAAATTTGGCTGTTGACACTTTGGGTAATCCTTATAAGCCCCTCCCTAATTTAGTTTGCTTAGTGCAAAGGACTTGTGTGTAAAGAAAGGGGAAACTGGGTTAACTCCATGCTTGCAGCCTTTAAAGACCAAACCTTTCGGATGGCCTGGGGACACCCTCCACACCCCCCACAAATGACCATTCCCAGAACAGTCTGAAAACCAGGGAACTGCAGGACCGACTCCCCAGGTGCTCCCTTGAGTTGAAAGGCTGAAGAAGTCATGCCCAACAAGGGGCAACCCAAATCCCAGGGCTGAAAACCTGTGGGCGATGATGCCCCTTCTCTTGCCGAGGCAGCGCTGTTCCACCGGCTGGTGGCACTGCTGTCGGCATCTCCCAGGTTTCTTTTTACAGAACATCTTCTACACCAGCTGGAAAGCACCCCCAGGCCAACCCTAAATGCCGATGTAAAACTGCGACTGCATGTGTGCTAGGACAACCTTGGGGCTCGGCTTTAACTGTGGTAAAACACAGCCTTAAAAGACCTTTGCAAGTCTCCACCTCGCCTTCCTCTTCCCATCCCCTTGGTGCCTGGCAACAGCTGCAGAGTGGAGAGAGGCCCTTTCCGACGGGGATGACGGGGATAACTGCCATTGGACCGGAAGCGCAGTGCAGGAGAACAAAGCTGCTAGTGGGGTGCAGATTCTCTTTTAGGTTAGGGATGTGCGTCTCACTCTCTAGGTCTGCCTTCAAGAACTTTTTTTTTTCCCAATCCCATCTTTTACTTTTTTTTTTTTATTAACATTTTATTAGGGGCTCATACAACTGTTATCCCAATCCATACACACATCAATTGTGTAAAGCACATTTGTACACCGTTTCTCAAAACATTTTCTCTCCATTTAAACCCCCGACATTAGGTCCTCATTTTTCCCCTCCCTCCCCGCTCCCCCCTCCCACATGAGCCCCTGATAGTTTATAAATGGGTATTTTGTCATATCTTGCCCTGTCCGACGTCTCCCTTCATCCACTTTTCGGTTGTCTGTCCCCCAGGGAGGAGGTCACACACAGTTCCATGTAATCGGTTCCCTCTTTCCTACCCATTCTCCCTTTACCCTCCCTGTTTTGCCACTCACACCACTGGTCCTATAGGGCTCATCCATCCTGGATTCCCTGTATTTTCAGTTCCTATCTGTACCAGTGTACCTCCTCTGGTCTAGCCAGTCTTGCAAGATAGAATTCGAGTCATGGTAGTGGGAGCGGGGAGGAAACCTTTAGGAACTAGAGGAAAGTTGTATTTCTCATCATTGTTACATCGCACCCTGACTGGCTCATCTCCTCCCCGAGACCCCTCTGTAAGGGGATCTCCAGTGGCCTACTAATGGGCTTTGGATCTCCACTCCGCACTCCCATCATTCACTATGGTAAGATTTTTTGCAAGAACTAACTCCTAACCTCAACTTAGGACACCCTTCCTTGAAGATGTGTCCAGACATTAAACAGTGGGGACTTCTGCCATGTGTCCCAACCCCCAGCTATTTTGTTCTGCAGCCCAGGGCCACTCTTCCAGCTCTGCTCTTCTCTAGCCAGTGAGCCAGTTTACAACCTGTTTTTCAGCCTCAAGGGGGCAGGTACCAGCTAAATAAAACTGCAACATTTGAAAGATCGGAAGAGCTGTCAGCTAACTTCAGTAGGTGGGTCCGCCTAGCCCCATGTGCAAGCACACAGGCATAGCAGCTATTTCAAAGGCAAATGATAATCTAATTTAAGATATGCCTTTAAACCCTTTTGATAACTGCCTCAGTATCTTTCTAACTCTGACATTCTTTACTGTTTAACATGGAAACTAGTGGTCAATACATTCATTAGCAGTTGCTTGAGAAAACATTTTCTATATACTTTCACTAGAAAATTCCAGGGATTAAGGCTAGCCCCTAGAGTTGGTGTAGTTGGTTTCGGGGGGGAGGGTTGGGGACCAGGCTGAAGGGGTCAGCGTGTGGAAGGGCATGTTAACACACACCAGGACAGGTCAGGGCCCAGGACGACATCCAGGCAGCTCTAGTCACTGCTGGGACCGTTGCTTTAGATCGCACCCCCCCCCCCCATGTGTGCTTTATTGTCGTAGCCACAGCTGCTCATCCATGGATGCTCCCCACTCCGAGGAAAGGCTCTGCGTCTACCCACCTTCCTGGGTGCAGGGACCACACAGCCGTGGACTTGCTGCCCTGGAATCAGAGCAGGGGAAAAGCCTGGAGGGTTGGCATCATTTAAATCATAAAGCTGCCACTGAGTGGATTCCGACTCCTAACTGCCCTACAGGACAGGGTGGAACGGCCCCTTTCAGTCTCCAGAAAGAAACAGAAAGCCTCATCCTTCTCCCGCAGAGCAGCTACAGCCCAACACGTTACCCGATATGCCATTAGGGCTCCGAAAGTCGCTGCCATCAAGTCATTTCTGACTCAGTATCACCGTGATCCTGTAGGGCAGCGCAGACCTCCCGTGGCTTCTGAGACACACTTTTTATGTGAGTGGAAAGCATCACCTTTCTCCTACGGAGTGACAGGTGGTTTCCAACGGCTGGCCTTGTGGTTAGTAGTCATGATGTCAATTCTTCAGATGTTCAATTGCTTTTGTTCCAGGTGCGAGTCTTAGAGGCAAAAGCCTTCCAGGAAATGTCTCAGTGCGTGGGCATCTGCTCCTTGCTGAGGTCCAGGGTGGAGAATACCCCCAAAGGAGCTAGTCCCCAAGCAGCACCCCAACCTGCTCTCTGCTGTGTGAGGGGGAGCAGGGACCGAGGGGATCGAGCAGCCATATGACGAGACTCAAGAAAGGTGAGCAAACGCTGCCGTGCAGAACACTAAACTTTATTCACTTTATATATTTAACAGTTCTAAAGTATTTACTTCTTGCTTTGACAAAAAGAAAAAAATGAAAAATTCTGGAGCACTGACTGACTCCTCTTTAGGAGAAAAAGGTTATATGTACAGCTACGGAGATTACGGCTCCTCCTTTACATACAAAGAAAAATATTAAAAAAGTGCTTCCTTGATCAAAAATGGACTAAGAGCGGCAAGCATTTATTCACACTGTACATCAGACCAAGAAACCCGTATCGTAACCTCTTGGCACCTGTCACTAAAAACTGCACAATCGTCAACTTCTCCCTATCTGCGTGGCCAAAGCCCACAGAGTCTGGAGAAGAACTACACCCTGTTGTCCAAGGAGCCCGCTGTGCTGGGAAGTCAGGGACCTCTCGTCAGCGGCTCTTTGACTTTGCCTGGCTTGAAAGAACCAAGGGGCTTCTGGGCCCGTTTGAACCACTCCCCCAACACCGGATCCCCCCTTCCTGAGACACAACTCGCCCTTGACCAGGGAGCTGTTCAAACAGG